AGATGACACCGTAAATTGGTATTCACTGGACTTAATTAAGGTAGCGGTGGGAAGCAAGTCAGGGCTGCAATCTGGTGCTCTTCCATCCAATAAAATGCTACCCCTGCCTCCAACCTTGTCTTGGAGGAGGACATAAAATTCTGCCCAACATGATTCTAGATTGAAAGTCCTGGTGCTACTTCAGTGCAATTTTTACTTTCTGCTCTCCAACCCCAAGAATTTCAAATGCTTTATTTTCTTTCATATTCAGTTCGTTGCTGGTGGTGTATGGAATGTATTGGAAGGAGGGATACTCTTTCTGCAGTTTTAATTCCATACATCTGCATTATGGTTCACTTTATTTCTTTCATCTACATCTTTACCTCTATAACCTCTGCCTTTATCTTTCTTACTTCTGGTTTTGTTTCTCTTATCATTTGTACTTTTAAAAATCTTAATTGTTCATTTATCCTTGTTTATTCCTTAACAGTTACTTAAACTTATTCTCTGTTAGTATTTTTTATTTGCATTTGCTATTTTTTTCGATTCAACTTTTTTCTTACTCGACTTTTTGATGGAATTTCCCATAGTTTATTTCCATTAGTAAGCATTTTTTCTAGACTATTTTATTTTCACCACTAGCAACCTCCCACAATAACTTCCTAATGCTGTGATTAATTATCGTCCTTGAAATTAGGTCTTAGGCTGCGACCTGACAAACTTTTTAACCCACGGTCTGCTGGCTTCTAGGATGAAAACATCATTTCTCATATCTTGTCATGTCATATTGGAATCACAGTATCAGTGTTGTCATAGAAATGGACAACCTTGTTTATTTCTTGAGTGCTTGCTTAACATGCTGATATTGTTGTCTTTCCTCTTGCATCTGTATACATACTACCGACTGCTAACTGTAGTTCAACACAGACAGGTTTACCATTTATTTTGCAAACTAATTAACCTGTCCTGTAAAAGGGGCATAAATAGGATCAGAGATAGTAGGAACTACAGATGCTGGAGAATCTGAGATAACAAGATGTAGAGCTGGATGAACACAGCAGGCCAAGCAGCATCAGAGGAGCAGGAAGGCTGACGTTTCGGGCCCAGACTCTTCTTCAGAAATGGGGGAGGGGAAGGAGATTCTGAAATAAATAGGGAGAGAGGGGGAGGCAGATAGAAGATAGATAAAGGAGAAGATAGGTGGAGAGGAGACAGACAGGTCAAAGAGGCGGGGATGGAGCCAGTAAAGGTGAGTGTAGGTGGAGAGTTAGAGAGGAGATAGGTCAGTCCAGGGAGGACGGACTGGTCAAGGGGGCGGGATGAGGTTGGTAGGTAGGAGATGGGGGTGGGGCTTGAGGTGGGAGGAGGGGATAGGTGGGAGGAAGGACAGGTTAGGGAGGCAGGGACGAGCTGGGCTGGTTTTGGGATGCGGTAGGGGGAGGGAAGATTTTGAAGCTTGTGAAGTCCACATTGATACCATTGGGCTGCAGGGTTCCCAAGTGGAATATGAGTTGCTGTTCCTGCAACCTTCGGGTGGCATCGTTGTGGCACTGCAGGAGGCCCAGGATGGACATGTCGTCTGGGGAATGGGAGGGGGAGTTGAAATGGTTCACGACTGGGAGGTGCAGTTGTTTAGTGCGAACCGAGTGTAGGTGTTCTGCAAAGCGGTCCCCAAGCCTCCACTTGGTTTCCCCGATGCAGAGGAGGCCACAACAGGAACAGCGGATGCAGTATACCACATTAGCAGATGTGCAGGTGAACATCTGCTTGATGTGGAAAGTCTTCTTGTGGCCTGTGATGGGGGAGGTGTAGGGGCAGGTGTAGCACTTCCTGCAGTTGCAGGGAAAAGTGCCAGGTGTGGTGGGGCTGTAGGGGAGTGTGGAGCCGACAAGGGAGTCACGGAGAGAGTGGTCCCTCTGAAAAGCAGATAAGGGTGGGGAGGGAAAAATGTCTTTGGTGGTGGGGTCGGATTGCAGATGGCGGAAGTGTCGGAGGATGATGCATAATTAGGAACTGCATTTGATACAGCCAGCTACTCCAAAAATTGCTCGACTGCTGAAAAGAAAGCAATTTGTGGAAGAGGGCAGTTAGATTAAAAAAAAAGCAGAGGCCTAGGCCAGATCTGACATTGTCATTGCAAATTGATTGAAAACCAGTGTATAGACTATTCACAAGATTTTTCAGTTTGAGGCTGTTAACTTCAATTTGACAACATTGCAACATATTTTTCCTAACTTCATTTGCGTTACATTCCAATGAGGTGCTACATTAGAATGTCTAGACATTTTTTACTGTGTAGTTCATGGACCTCAGATACATAACATAGAATTACAAGTTGTTTAATATAAGTGAGAAAGAATGATCAAATTATGCTAGTAACAAATTTGTATTGGCTGGCTCTATTTCAATTATCGATAGTCATTATCACATAATTTATTTATGCTATTAATTGATACTGAATGTAACTTGTAATTTATGTGTATTTAAAAAGTTAATTATAAAAATACCCAAAATAAATTAGTTTCCAAAGATTTTAACCACATAAATAGATTTGATTATTATTGCTGATCCAAATTGGAATAATTACCCTTATATTTATTTTTTTCTGTTGAAGGAGCAATTCTGAGTAATAAAAGACTAAACAATGTGAACATGGTCATCTTACAATTTTTCACGAACTATATTTTAATTTTTGCCTTAATGTTCTTCACTATTAGCTGCTTGAGAGGACAGTGAGTCAATTTTTTCACTTTTTTCTATCCGTGGTGCTCTATGAGCATCAATGCTACTATAGATGTCAACTAAGATGTCATTATACCTTCTTCGGTATGAGCACCTGGCTTTTAGTTGGGTCCATACTGGGATTTAATTCAGCTGAGATTAGATGTCATAAGATGGATATATGTTGTGCCAACAAAAAGTTAAATATTTACCCAATGTGGTAAATTAATGAATAGTTGCAGAGATTATCAGGCATTTGATAAAATGAAAAACGAAGTGGCATGATACAGATTTCAATATCTCACCAGTTTTACCCAGTTGGGTTTAGATTGACTGACCAACAGTCTGAAAGTGCCTGGATTTGCTTTCAGCTAAAATGATCAAACAGTTAAATTATTTGTGTTTTTTTTTGAATGCCGAATCTAAAAGCTTGTACACTGTGTGGAAATTTAATATTTTAAAAAAGTCCAAAATGCCAAGTGCAGTTCTGTGTTCTAGAATTATTAATGTACTCTGTAAGTCCATAATAGAAATAGTTTCTAACACTGTCTGACAATGTAATTTTGCAGTTGTCCCTAGTCTAGAAAGGACTAATAGAGGATATTTTCTCCTGATAATTTGCACATACCTAGCAGCTACCTTCCCAGTGTTGCTATCAATATAAGTGAATAACTGGCCAGATCTCTAAACGTGGGTGCTGATTTAATATTTCTCTCCATTTTGGTGCAGTTTACTAAAAAAAAACTTATTTATTTAGATCTTAAGCAGTTAATTTGTTGCTCCATCCAATGTGCTTTAAAAAAACAGCTGTCAGATAGTAATTGCTTATCTTACCAAATTATGAAATATTGAAATATGTTGGTTGCAAGATATGATAATTATATTAACCCTGTATAAAAAATCAGAATTATATTTCAATGCAGCTTATTAATGAATAAATTCAGCTGTGCTGAGTAAAACTAATATTATTTGATATTCTTCTACTATTCCTATACTTAAAAATGGTATCTAATTGATAATTTCTCTGAAATATCTGAACTAAATCTGAGTTCAAACCCACCCCCCACACCTAAAATTATGTACATTGAAATATGGTGTTATGAATTGCTTTGTGCTCATAGAATTAACAATGCTGGTGATGGGAAAGTTAGTTTCCTCCAATGTCACACAATGGCAGTCTATGCTACTCCCAGTTCAGAATGGTGTAGCTATAGGTCAGTACTCAATAGATACTGTGGGAAAAGTTGACATTAATAAGTACACATAAATCATAAGGAGGCTGTATATCATTAATACAGCAGGTGCACACTGTTTATGCAACTGCCAAACTGATCAAAGATATTGGAGAAATTAACACTCATGCTCCCCATCAGGAATGCACCATGTCCTGCACTCAAATTGAAATTTCCATGCTATGGTGACCAAATATAATGCTATTATATGGAATCCATGTACAGGAGTTAAGAAGCTGATCAAGCCACTAGCCATAGGGCACATCTAAGAATTTTTCAGTTTTCAATCCAGTGAGTACTAAAGGCACCTCCGTATACCTAATTATTCTGGTGAGTTATTACTTTGCATTGCTTAAATTCATCAAATAAATGATAGAGAAATCTAATTTCACTATAATTAATAATTGTGGCCAGTTAGCTTACATGGAGCATTTGACATTGTTACTGTGCTTGCTTTTTGTGATAATGGAGTTTGCTGTAATAATTTGAATGCAATAGCTTCCTAACACAGGCAGCTGCAGGAAATCAAAGAGCAACTCACTTCAACAAATAAAAACAGATTCTAACAGTGGTGGCTCAAAAAATAAAGTGTGAAGAGCAGAATTTCTTACTTTGGAAATTCACTGCCACACACTTTTAGAAGTAAAATTGATAAACTCGTACCTCACCAAAATAATTTTTTATATTATAGTTTTTGACTAATATGTAGCCTCCATTCCAACACCTCATAAAAATTTGGTGATATGACTACTATCTTTCTGCATTTCTTCAACTAATGACTTACATATTATAGAGCGTATTGTTTCAGCTTTTCAAACAGTATAATTTTTCTCTAATTATCTAAAAACTGTTATGCTTCACCTTATGTGTTGCACTGACAGTAAATGATACACATTATACAGGAAATTGTGTTCCCTCACATTTTCCGTACTTTCCAGCATTATCATGAACTGAGCCAATAATGAGGCAATTGTCATATTCTGCAACCCTTAGTTTGGTTAAGAAAGAGTCTGAAAGATATTGTTTTGAACCCTGAGCCAAAGCCCACTGCAGTATACAGCATATTCACTAGGATTCTAATAATGAATGCCACCGACAAACTTGCTGTCCTTTTGATTCCTTCATTTCAGTCCAATGATTTAGCTCTTCCTCTCCTGAGCTGTTGAGGCCAAGTGAAATCCAACCAATCATTTCCTTGCGTTTCATGCTCCGTTTGTTATACACAGACAGTATGAGTGTCACATCAGAGAGTTGAAACAGTGCTACCTGAAAAATGAATGTTTCTTTGTACACAGGATTTGGTTGGCCTCGACGAATGGACGTCTTACATTTGGACATCTCCTGACCCATTGAATTCAGCAGTGTTAACTTGACATATGTGTCTGGAAAAGCAATACAGTTTAAAAGAGGCATCAGAGGTAAGAAAATACTCTTTTTATAATCAATGTATTGCTACCAATATCAAACACTTAGCAAGCTTCCACTAGCCACAACACTTTGTAAGCATACTAATCTCAGTAACAGAGTATACAATACATAGAAGAAATGAAAAGGTATGCCTAAAAGATAGCAGAGGTGATGAAATGAATAAGGAACAAGGGTCAACAGGAAGCACAAAGAATGCCATCAAAACAATTTGAAATGGATGGACATTAATTATAGCAATAGCTGGAATAACAATCTCTCCATTTTATTTTGGTTTTTGTTTAAATTCTGAACTAACTATCAACAGTCATGAAGAAAATAAATTTGTTATATGAAAATAATCTGTTTGAGAAATATCATCAACTTGAATCTTGGAGAATCTGATTGTTGGCCATAACCCTTCCTTTCAGTAATTTGTTTTAATTTTTCTCCAATTCTGTACTAACCAAGGTGAAGTTTGACAGTGTTCAACATTACTAAAGTGTTTTTTGTCAAAAGTCATAAATCATCAGGCATTTACAGGTTATATTATCATATATATCTTTTCCTGGTCCAACAACATATATGTCACCCCAAACTTAAGAAGAATAAAGTGGAATTTTTATTTATGATGGCCTTTCTCATGAGCATGTCATGTTTCATAAAGAAGGCTAATCTGACCTTTTAAAAACAACTTACAGGATGGCTTCCAGAAGTCTCATGACAGTCTTTGTCACTTCACTGTCAGCCAAAAAGCAGAAGAACTAGTATGTTACCTCAACACTAATCACAAAGGAAGATATTTAGAACTTTATTAACCTTTGGACAATTAAATGGGTCCTTAAAGGTGTGAGAATTTAAAGCTTCTGAGACAAACAGGAAACTGGAGGACCCCCACAGGGAATTCCAACATATTTGACTCTACATTGTGGAAAGGTGCTTCATCAAAGTTAATACTGTAGTCATGTTAAGTTTTGCAGGGGGCTCCAACAACAAAAGAACACCACGGAGAATATGAACAGAACACCATCAGAGTGAGAAGTTCAACCAAAGAGATTTCCAAGAAACAAGTTTTCATAAATCAACAATAATGCTGCTGAAAAGAGTCCAGGCAATTTTCAAGTATTGTATCCATGGAAGTTGTGAGGATCAGAAAGTCTTCTTTCTCCCTTAAAGCCTGCTTTTCCTACTAAGCTCATCTGTGTGAACAACCTCTAGCTATTGAACTATAGATCCCATCATAGCTGTTGATTTCCAAATTCAAGTTTTCGAACCATTGACGTTGGAAAGAGAAATCTTCAAGGAAGTAACAGGTCTACAACAATAACAGATAGATCTTCTTCTTATCCATATCTACTTCTAATTGTTATATCCATATTTTATCTAATATTTGTATTTTTTTGTTAGTAACTTTCATGAATAGTTGTGTAATAATCTAACCTTTTAATCTGGTTTAAAACTAAAGGTACACAATCATTTTTAAATTGGAACACAAACTAAAAGGGACTAAATGCATAATCTAAATTCACATTCATGGATAACGATGTGGACATTTTGGATGTGGCCATAATATCTTATTGAGTCAGATAACCAGTATTGTCCCAATTATTCTTGATTTTCAAATCACAGGTTTGCTCTGGTCCTTTACCTATGCTGTTTTTTTTACTCATCATGGGATATGGGCGTTGCTAGCTGGCCAGCATTTATTACCAGCTCCTAGTTGCCCTTGGGAAGGTGGTATTGAGCTGCCTTCTTTAACTGCTGCAGTCCATGTGCTCTAGCTTGACCCACTATGCTTTTAGGGGGGCGGAATTCCAGGATTTTGACCCAGTGAAAGTGAAGGAACAGTGAAATATTTCCAAGTCAGGTGGCGAGTGGCTTAGAGGGGAACTAGCAGGTGGTGATGTTTTCATGTATCTGGTGCCCTTGTCCTTCAAGATGGAAGTGGTCATGGATTTGCAAGGTGCTGTCTAAAGATCTTTGATGAATTTCTACAGTGCATCTTAAAGATAGTACACACTGCTGCTACTGAATGTCACCAGTAGAGAGAGTGGATGCTTATGGATGTGGTGCCAATCAAGTGCTGTGATTCCCCGGATGATATCAAGCTTCTCGAGTGTTGTTGGAGCTGCATCCTCCAGGCAAATTCCATCACAATCCTGACTTGTGCCTTTGGGGAGACGGGAGGTGACTTACTTGCCTCTGATCTACTCTTGTAGCCTATGTATTTATATTGCGAGTCCAGTTGAACTTCTGGCTAATGATAACCCCCAGAACGTTGATAATGGGAGGTTCAGTGATGGTAACACCATTAAATGGGGCGATGGTTAGATTACCTAGCATTGTGTGGTGCAAATGTTACTTGCTACTTGTCAATCCAAGCTTGGATATTGTTCAGATCTTGTTGCATTTGAACATGGATTGCTTCAGTATCCGAAGAGTTGCAAATGGTGAAAAACATTGTGCAGTCATCAGCAAACATCACCACTTCTGACCTTATGATGGAGGGAAACAGCTGAAAATGGTTGGCCCTAGGACACTACCTACAACACTAGGACACTAAAACTGCATTGTTGACTTCATGTAGAACTGTTAATAGCAATACAATGGATTTAAAAACAGCTCCCAGAATTAAAAAGATGACATACTAACATAAGATGCATACTAGTAATATCTTTTATTTAAAAAGTAACATTTATTTTCTCTTTAATAGTCAAGCATAGTATTATTCTGAAATTACTAAGCAGAATATCATTATCCAAGCAACGTATTGTTATTGTGTCCTCCACCTGTGTATTGGTCCAAATCCCTTGACCCTGCTCTGTTCTCATATCTTGTTAACCCTCTTGCACAATCATCAATTTATTTTTAAGTGTTCACTTTGTTGTCTATTAATTGGTCCAAAAAATGGTTAGCTAGCAAAGGAGAGTCTAGCAGATACCTTGCACAACTATTTCCACATATGATTCAATTTACAGACAGGTTACTAAATGGGTGCACAGCACTTTCATCTTGCCCCTTTTGGTGGAATGCTTTTTAAATTAGACATAGGCTATAAAAGATACTGAGAGTTCTCAACAGTGATTCTTAAATACTGCTAAAATCCACTCAGGTATTTTTCAAGAAAGATATTTATGTAGCAAGAATTTTCTGGTGGGCCAAGCAGAAAAACTGGCTAATGCTCTCTCCTCAAAAACTGATGAGCTACAGTGTATTGCCAGTTTGGTGACTCCAATTGGCCAGTAACATTCAAATAAACTTTGAACCCAAAAATGGATTAAGCTTCTTCACTAGTCATGAATTTGTGCTTTAAGTTTGTTCTTTGATCACCAAATCTGAAAATCTGCTCCCAACACTAATTTTGATTACAGTCATAAAGGTATACAGCATGGAAATAGGCCCTTCGGCCCAACTTGTTCATGCTGACCAGGTTTCCTAAACTGAACTATTCCCATTTGCCTATGTTTGGCTCACATCCCTCTAAATCTTTCCTATCTATGTGCCTGTCCAAATGTATTTTAAATGTTGTAATTGTACCCACCTCTACCAGTTCCTCTGGCAGTTCATTCCATATATGCATCATTCTGTGTGTGAAAAATGTTGCCCCTCACGTCCCTTTTAAATTTTTCCCCTCTTACTTTAAACCTATACCCTCTAGTTTTGGACACTCCCTTACCCTGGGAAAAGACTTTCGTTATTCACCTTATCTATACCCCTCATGATTTTATAAACCTCTATAAGGTAATCCCTCAGCATGCTATGTTTCAGGGAAAAAAGTCACAACCTTTCCTTATAACTCAAACCTTACAGTTTTGGTAACATCCTTGTAAATCTTTTTTGCACCCTTTCCAGTTTAATAACATCCTTCCTATACAGGCCAACTAGAATGGTAAGCAGTACTCCAAATGTGGCCTTACCAATGTCTTGTACAGCTGTAACATGACTTCCCAACTCCTGTACTCAGTGCTCTGACTGATGAAGGCAAGCATGCCAAACGTCTTCTTCATCATCCTATTCACCTGTGGTGCCACTTTCAAGGCACTATGTACCTGCACCCCGTCTTCTCTGTTCGACAACACACCCAGGGCCCTACAATTAACTGTGCAAGTCCTGCCCTTATTTGCCTTACCAAAATGTAACACCTCACATTTATATGAATTAAACTCCGTCTGCCATTCCTTGGCACTGGCTCAGTTAATCAACATCCTGTTGTATTATTAGATAACTTTCTTCACTGTCCACTATACCACCAATTTGGATGTAATCTGCAACCTTACTACGTCTCTTATATTCTCATGCAAATCATTTATATAAATAACAAATAACAGTGGACCCAGCACCAATCCTTACAGCACATCGCTGGTCACAGGCCTCCCGTATAAAATAAAACCCTCTACCACCACCCTCTGTTTCCTACCATCAAGTCGATTTTGTACCCAATTGTCTATTCCACAGCCTTAGAAGCATCTGTGTAAAAAGATTGTTCCTGGTCTCCATCCCCAATTTCTTCCCTTTATCCTTTAATCTGTATCCTCTAATTCTAAGACACTCAGTTATTTGAAAATTTGCTTTTATTTACATTGCCCCATTCTTCATAATTTTAAATAGATCTTCATCTGTACTTTTTAGAAGATAGACAACAACTAAATTAAACAATAGCTTTCATTTATCAAAATATATACATTACTCTGATTTCTTTTTCCTGGAAGTCAGGAGAGGTCAAACAATCATATTGATGGAGAAAACCTTTTTGTTTGTCTGACCTGGAGAAGTTTGCTATCTACTGAAGTTGATTTTCAAAAAGTGAGTAGTGGTCATTTGACTCAGCCACAGTTTAGGTGGGGGTAGCTGGCAGATACAAATCAAAATTCTAACTGATCCTGTACATTTCCCACATTGTGAATTATGCTAACATTATCCTTTGGTGTCAATTTTTGTGATGACTGATTCATCCTTTTTTTTGATAATTTTGTTTAGAGTTTATCAAGCATGACTCAAGCCATAAAACAACAATAAACCAGCTTACTTCGTTTCTATGAAATCTTGATCTAAACTCAAGATTTTGCAGTTAGTGAGGAAGTCACACAGTTCACTGTTAACTCAAAGAAAGCAACCCCCCAAGATCTACAACCTACCCCTTGGTCAACATATGTATGAATCTGGTGCCAAGTGAAGTGGACCTTAGGCATCCTCAATAGTGATGTCATCAAGCAAAGAAAGTAGCCAATCAAATTTAAGTGACATCATCAGAAAGGTAAAAAGCCAATCAAATTGAACTAATTTTACAGACAACAAACCAAAGTAAAATAGGCTGATTATCATTTATATTTAATTCAATTTTATAGAGAGTGCAATAAAGTATTGAGACATACACAAGGGATTAATATAGAAAACTCAAGATCAGTAAAAACTTCTTTAAAACATGTATTCTAAAATTAAGTGGAACATTTTATCATTACGGCAAAATGTGACATTCCACAAATGTAAAATCAATATTTTCGGGACCAGAGAAGTTTTCAGCAATAATTAGGAACATAGTATATCATCCAATGAAAATTACACCTCATTCTACTGGATGCACCCTTTTCAAAAACTTTGCAGAAAGATTGATAGCATAAAAAGGCAAGTTGTCTTCAATTCAGTGATTTCTAATTAATTGAAGTCTGTGGTGCTTCTACAGCACATCCTATGAAAAATCATAAACTCACCGTCAGTAATTTCTGAATTTTTGTGTTTAACTGTGTATGTGCCAACTCCATAAGTTATTGTCATTATCAGAAGAATAATCATGGTGAATATGATAATTTTGCCATCATAACGACTGTAAAATGAAAGTCTGCATCTAAACATGAGACATATCTGCTCTGAATTTTCAAAGCATGAAATAAGATCTAGCAACTGTCAAACATCACCCACAGTGAGCAGTACATTTTTCAAATAATATTTAATATATATGCAACTGTATTAATTATTCCTATTTTGCTTGAACAACCATTATATTATTAAATGATTTGTTGAGTTATAATTAGGTGATAAAAGAAATGTCAACTATCTTTATCTTATATTCACAAAAATCCTGATCAAAGCATTGAATGTTTTGGTAAAGCAGATATCAGAATTCAGTAGCTCTCTTGTTTTAAATTTCAAAACACTTCTGATATCATCATACAGTAATGATTGATAGAATATTATACCGATTATGAATGACCTTTACCATAGCCCCGTTCAGTATAAGGAGAGATGGTTAGTTCCAGCAGTATAATTTATCCTGATCACAGAAAATAACGTTAGGTAAAAGTCTCTTAAAGCCAGCACGAATGGTGGACAGCTTCACTGCTGGCAAGTTTCTTTCACATGAAAGAGACAAGAGCCACTAATAGCAATCCTGTACTGCAACTCACCTCGGATTATATAAACCTGCCCACCTATCAAGTGTTTTAGACAACAGAACAGTCCATCTGACAACAGGGGGTGGAAAGCAGTAAAAGAAATAATGGCCAGATGTCAATAGTTGGGTGAGAAAGGGTCATAGGTCAAAAGTTAAAACGAGGAACACTGTTTACTACAGTGGTAAAAGTACAAGAGCTTTAACAGTTTAATAACAAGAAAAGGTTCAATAGAGAGGATTATTAGCTGCCTGACGTAACAACTCAATTTCTCATTATTGTGCCATAAAAGTGCATATTCACAATCCTTTTCGAAATCTAATCAGTTTGCAATCTCAGTATATTACTACCCCGTTCCTCTTCATGAACAAGAAAATCAAAGGTCCTTGTTTCCCTTGTACTGCATAGTGACATTGCATTGCCCACTTTATTGACCACTGCATCTGAAATTTACTATGCTTGTCATAAAGTTAACTAAATTTGTGAATTTCAAGACAACAAGTATCAATGCAAGCAAAAGCTGATCGGTAAAAAAGGTAAGGTAGGACTTCAAATGCCACTTGAAGTAGGTTAACAAGTCCTTTTAATAGATAGACATTTTCAGAATGAGCTTCTTGTCAAGTGCGGTTTGTTCATAATCAAAGTAATTGTGCAACAATTACAAACCTTGCAAGCAATAGGAAAATATTACTAACTTGTTTTTTCTTTCACCTCTGGTTATGTAACAATAAACTGTTAAAGAAAGGTATACAACCAATCCAACAAAATAGATTTCAAGAAAAGTTATTTAAAATGCACGACTGATAAAAATGCTGCAGGAACTGATTTTGATCAAATTTAACAGTCAAATATGCAATTGTAGACAAATGTCACATATTTAGTAAGGACATTGTTGCACTTCCACCATTTTTAATGTGATCATTATTTTTACTTATAAAAAGTTATTACTTATAGTCTAGTGAAAGCAACTGTAGTTTTACAAGTTCTTGCAGTTTCTCCTCTGAGTGCCAGTAATAACATGTGAAATCAATACTATTGTGAAAGACAAACATTTTCAAAACTTCGGTTGATTTACCAAAGCTGTATTATTTTTAAATCTGTCTGTTAAGTTATTTCTGGAAGTATTGCAGAAAAATCTAATTACACACAAAAAAATGGCAATTTGTAGATATGAAAACCATTTTTATATAATTTAAGCCAAGGTCAATGTAAAATCAATAGATGTAATGATGCAGATTCAAATACCAGCTACTCAAAGCACATTTTGCGATTAATGCTTCAATCATATGGAACTTGGGTGTTTGAATAAGCTGAGAAATAACACTGTGATCAAGATTCTAGCCCTAACTTTGTAATCAGTCACACTGGTCAATGCTAATATGGGTTCAGCTTTGTGTGCCTGATTTTCCGTGTTCAAGCCAAGCACGCACTTCATTGTTTTGGAAACCTGTCGTTTTTAGTAGCTCCAATATACTTTACCAGCACAAATAATTACCAGCAAAGCTTCATGAAGCCTTGCTAAATATAATGGTAATTATCTGAATATTTAAGAATGAGTAGGTTTCACCGTGGCAGCAACTATAGCATTTGAGTTCTTGCAAAATATTTGCACAAAAACGAAAACAAATTTTTTTCCATTTAATGCGAAGCTATTGTAAACTAAAAACAAGTGATTGTGTTTGGAGTTTAATATTTCATAATATATTTTATGTTTTGATAGAAAATGCTTGCAATTTGTTTCAAATTGACATGTTTAGAAGTCATATTCTTAAATGTAACATTGCAAAGCTTGTGAAGGATCCAAAAATGTATGAGGGCTGGTCATAAGAACAATTGCTGTTGGAGGCATTTGCAACTGAATAAATTGTGCAATGTTAATTTAGTTTTAATAATTGTGCAACAGAATTGAAAGAAATGCATTAATTTAGTATCTACAGTCTTAATTGATACATTCCAGATCTGTTTAATAGAGTAATGGGGGTTATGAAAGAGTTGAAAATACACAACTTTTAGGCAAACTACTTTCTCCAGGGCAATTGTGCTGAATATACAATATTAGTAGGAGGTTGAGAGGTAACCTTATATAAGTTTATAAAATAATGAGGGGTACAGATGGAGTTAATGGCAGTTGTCTTTTCCCTAGGATGGGGGATTTCAAGACTAGGGGGCAAATTTTTAAGGTGAGAGGAGAGAGATTTAAAAAAGGGGCAAATTTTTTACACAGAGGGTGGTTCGCATGTGAAATTAACTTCCTGAGGAAGTGGTGCACATGGGTGCAGTTACAGCGTTTAAAAGACATTTCGATAAGTACAAGGAAAGGAAAGATTTGGAGGGATGTGGGCTAGAAACAGGTGGGTGGGACTAGGTTAGTTTGGGATTATGTTCGTCATGGACAATTGAAAGAAATGTAAATTGGACCAATAATTATATTTTTCCAAGATTTGCCTTTAATTTTACTTTTTTTTGTCATAATGATCTAATTTATCAAAGCGTAACTAAAGGTAATGATTGTAGTATAAATAAGGACTACAAAGTCTGTTTGACACACAAGGCTAGAATTTACTGTAGGCATTAACAGCGGATGAACTATTAATGTATTTGTGTCTTATTTTGTTCATTCATCGGATGCTAGTTTTGTTGGGTGGGTCAGCATTTATTGCTCTTTTCTAGTTGCCTTTGAGAAGATTATGGAAAGTTGCCCCCTTGAATTACTGCAGTTCATTTTCTGTAAATAGACCCACAATGCCTTTGGGAAGGACTTTCAGTATTTTGACTCAGAGACACTGAAGGTTTGGCAATACATTTCCAAATCAGGATGTTGTGCGGCTAGAAGGGGAATTTGCAGGTGGAGAAGTTCCCATGCATCTGCCGCCCTTGTCCTTCCAGATTGCAGTGGTCGTGGGTTTGGAAGTGCTGTCTAAAGGGTCTTGGTGAATTTCAGTGATGCATCTTGTACATGGTACACATTGAAGCTACTGAACATCAGAGGTGGAGGGAGTGAATGTCTGTAGAATGGGCTGTTGTGTACTAGATGATGTCAAGCTTCTGTGTGTTGTAGGAGCTGCACCCATCCAGGAAAGTGGGCAATATTCAATCACACTCCTGAGTTGTACCTTATTGATGGTGGAGAGGGTCTGGGGAGGCAGAGGGTGAGTTACTCACTATAAGATTCTTAGCCTCTGACCTGCTCTTGTAGCCACAGTATTTATATGGCTAGTCCAGTTTAATTTCTGGTTAATGATTACCCTCAGGAGATAGCTGGTGAGGGATTTCATGATGGTAATGTTATTGCATGTCGAGGGATGATGGTTAGATACTCTCATATTGGAGATGGTCATTGTCTGGCACTTGTTACTTGCCACTTGTCAGCCCAAACCTGGATATTGTCCAGGTCTTGCTGCTTTTGGACATTGACTGCTGCAGTCATGAGGAGTCGTCAATGGTGCTGAACATTGTGCAATCTTCAGCAAACATACCCACTTCTGACATTACAATGGAGGGGAGACCATTGATAAAGCAGCTGAAGGTAGTTTGGCATAGAACACTATACTGAGGAATTCCTGCACACAGTCCTGGAACTGAGATGACTGACATCCACCAACCACAACTGTCTTCCTTTGTGACAGGTATGACTCCAACCAGTGGAGAGTTTTCCACTGCTTCTCAATTTTACTTAAGTTCCTTGAAGCTATATCTGATCAAATGTAGTGTTGATGTCAAGGGAAATCACTCTCACCTCACCTCTGGAATTCATGTCCAAGGCTGTCAGAGCTGAGTGCACTGGCAGAATCCAAACTGAGCATCATTGAGCAGGTTATTGCTAAGCAAATGCTGCTAGATCACACTGATGGCACATTCCATCATTTTACTGATGGTCCACAGTAGACTTATGGGATGGTAATTGGCTGGGTTGAATTTATTCTTTTTTTTGTGTACAAGATATATCTGGGTAATTTTACACATTTTTGAGTAGATACAAGTGTTGTAATTGTACTGGAACAGCTTCGTTAGGGGCATGCGAAGTTCTGGAGCATACAACTACAGTATTTTTGCTGCAATGTTATCAGGACCAAGTATGCAGTTGTTCCAGGATTCCACTCACAGTGAGCAGCACCCTAACCACAGCTTTGGTTTCCAGTTCCAGAATTCATTGCACAGATGGACCTTAGAGGCCCAGGCAGACAGAAAAGAAATTAGAGAGTATGCTGGTCGGGACCCATAGCCTTTGCAATATCCAGTGCCTCTAGCAGCTTCTGAATACCACATGGGGTAAATCAAATGGTTGAAGACTGACATCAATAATGCTAGGGACCCTTGGAGGAGGCCAAGATGGATCATCCATTCAGCACTTCTACATGAAGATTGTTGCAAGTGCTTCAAACTTATCTTTTGCATTAATTTGCTGGGCTCCTCCAACATTGAGGATGAGGATATTTGTGGAACCTCCTCCTTCAGTAAGTTGTTTAATAGTCCATCATTCATGATTGGATGTGGCTAGACTGCAGAGCATAGATACGATCTATTGGTTGTGAAATTGCTTAGTGCTGAGTATCATTTGCTGCTATGCTGTTTGGTGTGCAAGAAATCTGTTTTGTAGCTTCACCAGGTTGGCATCTCATTTTAGATATGCCTGCTGCTGCTCCTGGTATGCCCTCCTGCACTCTTCATTGAACCAGGGTTGATACCCTGGCTTGATGGTAATTGTGGAATGTGAGACATGCGAGGTCATGAGGTTGTAGATTAGGTTTGAATACAATCCTGCTGTTGCTGATGAACCACAATGCTTCAAGGGTTCTTGGTCTTGAGTCGCTAGACATATTCAAGGTCTATCCCATTTTGCATGGTGACAGTACCACACAACATGATAGGGTATCCTCAATGTGAAGATGGAACTTTGTCTGCACAAAGACTGTGCAGGTATTGTTTCCTACTGATAATATCACGGATAGACGTACCTGCTGCATGCAGATGGGTAAGGATGTGGTCAAGTATGGGTTTGTCTCGCCATCTGCGACAGACTCAGTATAGTAACTACGTCAGTTGTGGTGCTGCCAAGTCACTCTTGGTGATGGACACTGAAGTTTCCCACCCAGAATACAATTTGCATCATTCAGCAGCCTCAGTGCTTCCTCTAAGTGGTTTTCAAGATGGAGGGGTACTGGTTCATCAGCCGAAGGAGGCAGTATGCAGGAAGTTTCCCTGCCCATGTTTAAGCTGATGCCATCAGACTTCATGGGGTCTACAGTTAACATTGAGGACTCCAAGGGCAACTTCCTCCTGATTGTACACCACTGTGCTACCACCTCTGCAGAGTCTGTCCAGCTGGTGGGACAAGTGATACTTAGGGATGTTGAGGGTGCTATCTGTGACATTGTGTGTGAGGTATGATATGTGTTGCATCCTACTGTTCATTATTTTAATGGAACAAAGGTCATTTAAAAATAGGTAACATCAGTAGTAATTTCTAACCTGTAAAGGATGTTTTTCACAAGCCTGAGTATTACAGTCGAGAATTTTCTGGTGGCCAGATAATTGTTTCTGCAGTGTAAATGGGAGTTGTATGTCAAGACCCTGTGGACACCCCAACTTGGCAGACTCCGAGGGAGTAGCTCAGGAAATTGAAGATTCCAATGGGCAATTCCCTAAACCTGGAACTCTCTGAAAGAATACATTTACACTGGATAATTTGGAGAATTCCGCTGCAGCTAATAGTTACACAGGAAAAGTTAGAAAATCTAAAATTTAGTCTAGTTCCTGAGTAGCTATTAAACTGAGACCTCAATCCACCACTTATACGCCAACTGCACCTCACCCTGACTCCTTATACTTGACCATGATTAATGGACCTGACACCCTCCTGTTCCTCCTGGGACCCAGCTCCATTCCCTGAAACCACTTACCCCGCTCCACCCCTCCTGATGGCTGGGGCTCAACATCACCCCTCCCCAGGACCTAACACACACTACAATGATCCTCTCAAGCTTAATGCTGCATCCACAGACCTCCCCCAACTGCTGCACTCAATGCTCACCCTGGATCTCGCAGATTACCCCCTATCTCTCCCCATCCATCCCCACCAGGACCTGACACTGCACCGTTGCCTGCTGCTGGAACTCACAGCTCCCCATTTCCCTGCTGCCACTTCTCCTCGACACCTCCTCTCCATCCCACCAAGGACACAGTCCCTCCACCTTACAGGACATAACATTCCCTATTCCCACTGAACCTGATACCCTTCCCACCCACCATGACCCACATCAAACACTCAATCACAACATCACACCTTGCACCCGACCTACCTGGCAGCCTGACGTACAAGGACCTATAAGGTTACTCTGCATTTCTGCAGGAGCCCTGATTGGAATCAACTATCCAAAATATAGAGCTCTTTCTTCACATAAAAAAAAAGTTGGGATGGAATAGCAATCTGGCTATCATTGTCATTCTGCAGAAAATCCAGTCCTAGTTTTTGTTTTGGTTAGTTCCAAATGGATGTTGCATTATGGCCTTCACAGGCACAAAATGTCATTATAAATTAGGTAGCAACCTGAAGATGATTTGCATGTATATACAAATGTAATTGAGTATTTAGCTTCCTATTTCACTGGCTGAATTAAATATAGGAATATATCGCTGTTTTTGATATCCGGTATTACTGCAAACAGGTCAGGTACAGGACAATTTGTCACAGATAGATTCTTTCCACTCAGCCCCCATATTGTATCTTCATCCCAAATTCATAGGAGCATCCATTATTGGACTATTCTGATGGACTAAGAATACCCAATTAGTGACGAGTCATTAACAGTGTGTGTCAGTGATTTGTATTTAACTGCAAATCATATTTAGCGAATTGTTTTTTTTTAGGATTATTAACATGTAGTGTAGAGTATGGATTTTCATCCCATCAATCTAAATTGTAAACGTAAGTTGTAAAAACAAGACAGGACAGTTTTAAAGCGTGACAGTTAGTGGATTCATTTTATGCCTGGCACATTTATATGAATCAAATATAATTCAATAAGTAATCTGAAACTTATTTTAGTGTTTTATGGATCTGACTATTGTGAAGTAAAAAAAACTCAAACAACTACACATTAGTTAGAATCTAGTGCAAAATATTATACTGCAATTGACATTTTCAATAAGTGATGAAGTGGTTTCTCCCTTTCACTATAACTATCTGTACGCAGATCTGTCTGGTAAAATGCGGAAGTAATAAAAATTTATCACACATAATAAAAAGCAATTGGTGAGAATGCCAATTAATATTTGATCAATACAAAGATCTAAATTGCTTCTGGGTATTAATGACAAAATCTGACCACCGAAGCAGGAGTTGGTACTTTATTCCTGAGCATGTTTTCAGGATAAACTTTCCTAAATCGGCATTACTGTAGATGAAAAAGTAAGGATTCCTCTACAGCTACACCCAATTTCCAATGAACAATTTATATTTCTTTCTAATTAATAACAGAGGAGAAATATCTTCACTTGTTGACCAACTAAGTGTGCACACTATTTCAATGAGTTTCTTTTATATTTAAACATACATATTTTTAGTCTACACAAGATCATTCATCGTTTTTCGATCCTTGTCAAGCCTTGTACTCACTAGGTGGTCTGTTCACTGCCAAGTTTTTGAAGTGGCTTCCTTTTATGACTTCTACTGACAGTCTGCCAGTGGTGGCATTATACAGCAGGCCAACTAGGATTTCTGGTGTTGAGCCATGTGCCAGAGACTGGCAGGAAGAAGTGCTTTCACTGCAGGACATCTCAGACATGCTCATCTGGGAGTCACAGCCCTAGGAGCAAAATATGAAAATATTACCATTTAAGTTATATGCACCAAACATATGCACTGAAATATTTATGGCTTCACATTACTAACTAACCAGAATTCAATTTCCACTACGTATTTTTTGAAAAATATGTTTTTTTTACAAGAGCTCAGCCTATCTTTCTCATTAGACGCTGACTGAAATTACTGTGTCTGCATCATTATCTGTTTGTCTTTTAGAGTCTTAGTAATTAGATATCCTTGTATTTCTCTCGGTGACCTTAAATTTATAAAAAAAAAAGTTACAAACTGAAGCAAGAGGAATTTTGGCAAACAAGACTGATTAACGTTTATGCCCGCTTTATTCTGTTCATCTTTAATTACTATTTTCCTTCTAAATAACAATGTATAAGATTCAACAGGTTTTATCAGTGCAATAAAATTGGCAACAAAAAGCAATCATACAATATGATTATTTTTCAGAGCAACTCATACTAATACATTGTAATTCTGTTACCTGGTTCAGGAAACATGTTATGGTTATTAAAGGCACAGGTAAATCTTCTTTTGTTGTTGTGATTAATATTGCGGCAATGCATCAACACTGATGTAATTTTGATTGTTCACCCTCAGTAAAACAAGTGATCTTGTACTATAATAAAATCTCTTTTGTTGTCATGGTATACTTTCATTACACAATATTCGTGCTAAAAACAATTTATATGATGTGAATGTAGTACATATAAACAGGTAGTTTTACAGATACTAATTGGCATGAGCTGATTACAAAGCATTTGTCATTCAGCGATGAGAGGTGCCTTGCCTAATGATTTCTTAAGCTCTGGCCACTAAAATGCATTTTCAGAGATTCCTGGAGTCTTGGAGATAATAATCCTGCTGTGTTACATGAAATATTGGTCACTGGTAAACTAACTCATAGCAAATTAAAAGTGATCTGTATCTCTTAACAGATTCTGCAGATTAGAAGTATCTTCATCATAATACAATATAAAACAGAAGAGGAAAAACTACCTCAGAGATAGTAGGAACTGCTGATGCTGGAGTCTGAGAATAACAAGGTGTGGAGCTGGATGAACACAGCAGGCCAGGCAGCATCAGAGGAGCAGGAAAGCTGATGTTTCGGGTCTGGACCCTTCTTCAGCTCCACACCTTGTTATCTTATTATAGAGGAAAAACTACAGTTCTTTCATACCAAAGTACATTGAAAATATATATGTGTATACTTTACTTTAGGCCTTCTCATTTTGAAATTAAATAGGAGAAAACTGATAACTATAATTGCTACAATACTGGCACAGATGTCTTTGGCATAGAATGGGATCACATTGGTTTTGAGTGAGAAAGTGTAAAATCAGGATACTGATTCACCCACTCAACTTCCAGGGAGCCTTATGCATTTGAATCAATATTACAAAACATCAAAATTTTCCCAATATTCTTTCAGAAAAAACAGTTTGAGTAAATGAGAAATAAATGTTGCAGGCATAGAAATTTATGTGTGACTTTCACTCCATTTAGGTTAAAGACATTAGCAAAAGTTATTCTGATTCACATCAAGACATTAACCTTGCAGGAAATACATCAGAACATCAGTTGGTAGCAGGCAAGGATGTACTAGACATTTGGCAAACCAATTGGCCAAGAGCTCGTTCACTTTATCCAAACTGACATTAAAGTAGAAACATAGCTTTTAGGAGCAGGAGTAGGCATTTAGCTCTTCAGGCCTACTTCACTATTTAATAAAATCATGGATGATCTGATTATTAGCATATTTTTCAAACCTTAGATAAATTATTCAAGTCAAAGCCAGTGTGTGCTGTGTAGCCTGGGCTTTCATATCATTTATTGTATGTCCGTTGGGTAGTGCTGGATATGCATTTCAGATTCAGCAAGGCTGCAAAACAGACAACAATGGATCAACTGCCTATCATACACAGCCAGGCTTCTATTTCCAGTGAAATCAAAGGAAACTAAATTCAAGTGTAATGTATGGCCAATTTGATATGGTGTACTTTGTTTTTCGACAAATGTAGAATCTCATCCCTGCTGAGGATAAATTTGACTTAAACGTTTCACTGTGAGGTGAGTGTGGTGCTCTTGTTCATTCACTTAAAATGTTTTTTCAAAAAGAACCTCACAAACAATGAGAATTCTTTTCATCACTTATATAAGTTACATTATTCAGATGCTATACTTGTCACAATTTGGAATATTGCAATTTCTTCCAACCAATGTATTTGTTAAGTTTATGATATTTTTCTTTAAAAATTCTAAATTTGCGATCTTGCTCTTCTTTAAAAATCATCCTCATTTATATTTCAATCTGTACTAAAGAAAAAAGGTTACATTTCTCAGCAGTCTGTTATTTTCTTGGTTTGTGGATTCACTCCAGTTATGGCGCAAACCATACTCACTCCTATAGCTGTCTTGTTCTCAGTACCTTCTATCTATCCAAAATTCTTGCCACACTAATGCAACTTAAATAAAACCTAAAGAGAACAAATACTTTTACCACCTGCATTCGTTCACATGTAAGTCTTATATGCACTGACACTTCCAGTGCTTACAGGAAATATTATTTTGTGTTTATTTTGTCTTGTCAGCTTCCAGTTTACATTGTTAATGTAGGTGGATTTACTTCATGTTTATTTCTTTCTCTGACCTAAATATTTCTGTTTCTTGATGTCTGGGGTCAGATCTCTCCGCTACCTGCGACCGAAAAGTTGATCTGCAATTCTATCACCCCAAACGTCCAAAAAATTCCAAGAAAAAAAATAGAAAATACAGACAGAGGAGTAGAAGGTTTCAGAAAAAGGAGAATCACAGACAGAAAGAAGTAAAAGTGGTAAAGAAGACAACAATCTAGAGATCAATACAGAAGTAAATGAGAATTGAGACACAGAAATATTAGAGGACATAAGCAGTGACAGGAAGCAGCGGTGGGAGAAAAATACAAAACAAAAATACAGAAGGAAAGGGTTGAGATGGTGAACCCTCCTCTCTCAATTATAAAGATGCCAAAAATAAGCAAAGAATAGGAAGAATATCTTTCCACTCGTGACCATCATTGCCAAAGTAATTATAAATACGAGCTTTCTTCAGTTGGCAGTGACAGGTTTGAAAAGAATCAGTGTATTGAGAATTGCAATAATGACTGATTTGATGCTTGTGCCTCAAGGTTTAAGTATGAAGTTATAATAGGTGCTTTCTTCAATCACATTAAACTAGACAAGATATTGAACCTAGATCAGAGCCAGGAACATGTGGTATTCTCCAGATTTACGATAGAAATTAAAGTTAGATTAATCAAATTTGCATATGAATTCAAATCTGTTGAGTATACTAAACAAAGTATTCTATTTTCAACTGGAGGCCGTTGGAAATAAGCCATGTATGTTACAAGCCAATGTAACTTTGGAACCAGCTCGAACAGGAAACTTTTATTTTGCCAGAGAAATTATGCCCATTTCCTACAAACTTCCTTCTGAGTCAGATTTGTATCTGTCCCAACATCCTGCTGGTGCATATTTTAGCACTATCAGTAGATTATACACTTTGTAAATCTCCCTTCAAAATAATACTTCTAAAGACTGAAAATACAGGTAGAAATTGTCTTATCTCATGCATTCTAATGTATAAAGGATAATTAATGCAATTAAGTTGATTTCCAACTATATATTTTAATTATTTATTCACTTAAGCCATAAGTCATAATGTTCCACATTCAACAATATTCTAACAGTCCAACACAAATGTCCTGCAATTAATTGACTGAGAAATTGAATGCACAATCACCTTCATGTGATTTAGTTAGTCAGAATTGTTGAATTAAAGAATTTTTCAGAACTTGTAAACATTTTTAAGGTCCACATTTTACTGCACGCTGTGTAGAATTTTAACTAAGAAAGTGGGTGGAACAGGAGTTAAATCACTGAAAATGCTGTATTGTTGGAAACGCAACACGATCCAGTCCACCTCTGATTATTATTGAGAAGGAATAAAGGCATATGGAAACAACTGTCAAAATGTCAGGACTAATTACAAGAAGAATCAATTAATTCTGGACCAGATTTTCTAAAGAGTGCTAATCACAGTCTGCATTTTTATGTTAAGAAATAGTTCTACATTTCTGACAGGGGATTCTTATCAGGGCACCTTCAGAAATGTAGATAGTACATTAAATCTGATGGGTCCCAAGGGTGAAGGATAGTCAGAAGTCAAACCATGCCACCTTTGTCACAATAGCACTTAAATGTCCAGCAGCACAGACAATCATTTTGACTGCATGTGTGAAAGGATAAGTACATAAAGAAAGTGTAAAGTTAGTGTACCAGGAGTGCAGGGTGCCAGGGCACAAGGTGGGAAGTGAACCAGGTAAGCAGTGGAGCAATAAGGGTAAGTCAGGGTTAGTGGGGGATATTGTGTCCAGTAGGGAGGGAGTTTGTTGGGTCTACAAAGGGTGTTGGGCCCAACTGGGTGATGGTGGTAGTGCAGAGTGTGGGGTGGATGTTGGGTATCACAGCAGGGAGGCGTGGGGTGCTGGGTCTGATAGTGGCTACAAGAGCAGGTCAGAGGCCAGAAATCTTGTAATAAGTCACCTTCTGACTCCATCTACAAGGCACATATCAGGAGTGTAATGGAATACTCACCTGCCTGGATGAGTGCAGCTCAGCTTAGTCAGCACCTTCTAAAGTCATGATCACTACATTCTAGAAGAGTAAAGATAGCAGATGTATGGGAACCTCACCATCTGCAAGAACCATTCCAAGCCACTCACCGTCCTGACTTGGATATATATAACTGTTTTTACTGTGCCACTGGGTTAAAATCCTGGAATTCTGCCCCTAGATGCATTGTGGGTCTACTTACAGCAAATGGACTGAAGACGGCAACTCACCACCACCTTCTCAAGGGCAACCAAGGATAGGCAATAAATCCTGGCCAGTAATGCCCACATCCCATGAATAAATAAGACAATATTATCGTCTTGATTCTCCAACCAAA